ACTACATGCCAAGTACTATGTTTGGTGTTAAGGATACAAGTACAAAAATTGAAACAAGCCCTAGTCACAAGGCACTTATATTCTAATGCCAGTACCTATGTAAGAACTGTCAATAGGCAATCACAGCATCAGAAAACTTATGTGAAAACCAGTCTTATTACAAGAGAAATGAACATGCATGTGGAATCCAAAGAGTTTGCAATTCACACAGAAGTTTGCATATTTATGACAGCAGGACAAAGGAAGGAGGAGATACCAGGAAAGGGCATGTCATGAGAGAGGACAGGTGAAGTAAAGGCAGGGAAAAGGACAGAACCCCTCCTGAAGGGGAGGAGCAAGGAAATGGCAAAAGCCACATTCTTTCCCTTGGGAATTGCTAGAGTACGAAGATAAGAGGGTCTGCTTATCTGCAAAGGACTCCAGCTGCACAAGCATTTTGCCAGCCTGGCACAGACTGGCTGGTGCCTGTCTTGCCTCCCAAGGACACACAAGGAATCCAGCCTGGGGTGCAAACAACAAATTATGTCAACTAAGGGGTGGAGGGTTGGGGGGGGGAGGGCTTTGTCCTTGACACATTCAGGTCTTCCTACATGCTCTGGGTCCAGTGTTTCTGGAAAATCTTGCAACTAAAAAAGACAAGTTCAAGGGATCCCTTGATAGTCCTTAACAGTATACATGTAAACATATAAAATATATGTGAAGTAAATAAATACAAAGTAATTAAATACAAGGTACTATGGAGGAAGTGCAGTTCATAACTGGGAGGGCCAGGAAAGGCTTCATGCAGAAGATGGTGCTTAAACTGCATCTTAAAAAAGAGAGGAATTCTGAAAAATGGAGATAAGGAAGGACTACTTTCAAAAGATGGGAGCCAGTCAGAGCAAATGCACAGAGGTAGAACACAGAGTGTCATATAAGAGGAACAGATAAAAAGCCATGAAAAGTTATTGTGACCAAAAACGTTTTAACTTCATAAGCAACCTTGAAATGATCTTTCCAAACTTAGACTATTCTTCAAACAAATATGATCTGTTACTGGACCTGGACCTGAAGCCTTGTGAGACCAGTAAGAACAGCTAAAACTTTAACTCTTCTGCATCCCTTTTTAGAACCTAGGGTCACCTCCACATCATAAGGAAGTAAGGGAGAGAATGAGAGAGAAAGAGAGAGAGACAGAGAGACAGAGACATACACACACACAGAGAGAGAGAGAGAGAGAGAGTTTGTTTAGCATTTGCTGGCTTACTATATGCTAAGTACTGTGTTCTGAGGATACATATACAAGCAAGCAAGAAAATGCCTGCCACAAGGATCTTCCATTATAATGGCAGAAGAAAACACATAGAGGGAAACTGGAAAGGGGTGAGAGTAATTCGTGTGGTAGAATGGTATAGAAATGCACTGAAAGTGTGATGGAAGAAGAAATCCAGGCAAGAAGTGGTGTAATAGTATAGGAGATTCCAGGGGCAGAGTTCAAGGTTTTGATGGTAGGGTGGTCATGGTGATCATCGGTGATACAGAGTTCTATGAATAATGTCAATTATTGACATTGACATTATTGACAATATGCAGATGTCAAAGTGAGGAGACAATGGATGAATTGTCAAGCATCTGACAATAGACTCTTTCCAAGTAATGTCAACCTTTCATCTTGGAATTCTGAAGCCTGTATCTTCTAATAAGAAAAGCATGAAGTTACTCTGATGGATGTTTATGAACATGCATATAGTTTCCACCCAAACTGAAGGCAGTACATTTTCTCTCTCTTTGGATAGATGCCCCATTGCAGGGAGTGTCATTGAGGTTTCAAGATATAGAAAAGCAGTACATGAGGCTGGAAAAAGTACTGATGTGTTCTGGCCTTTTACTTCCCTGAAGCCTGAAAACAGTTAATATTGGTGTCTTTTAACCATAATACCTACCTCCTATCATTTGAATAAATAACCATACCAGTCCTTCCTCAAAGACCCTTTTGGATCTAATAAGAAAAAAGCACGTGTTCCCTGATTCATAACTGGGTCTTCAGTTTATTTCCTTGTGTACATTGTCATAAACATCAGGCTGATTAGGTTGAATTCTAGTTATTATTTACAGGAAGTTGTGCATGACCTATCATCATCATCATCCTCCTCCCCTCCCCCCAAACTTCTTCCAGGCAGTCCCCATCTCTTAAACAAACTCCTTTCTCTCCCAGCTCAGCAGTTTCCATCACTGTCATCACCCAATTACAAGCTGCTGCAAACTTGTAGTCATTAGACTGTGAGGTCCTTGAGAAAAGGAACTGTGTTTATTATTTCTTGGTAGCACCAGCCCTTAGCACAGTGCCTGGAACATAGCAAGTGCTTAATAAATACTTGTTGACCTGACTTAACTCTAAGGCATTCCATCTCCCACTTCCATGTCGTTAGATATGGTCACTCCCTCCTTACCACTGACTTTTAAAATTTCTAGCTTCTGTCAAAGAACAACCCAGGTGCCATCTCTTATAGCAAACCCCTGCCAGTCCCACCAGCTGTTAATGCTTTCTCTTCCTGAAATTACTTTGTATATGCTTGAAATTTGATTGTAGACATTGCTCTCTCTCTCTCTCTCTCTCTCTCTCTCTCTCTCTCTCTCTCTCTCATCCTCCCTCCATCTCCATCCCTCCCTCTCCTCCCTTCCTCTTTTTCCTCTCCCCCTCCTCAACACTTTCCCCTCTCCTCCCCTCTCTACCCCTCCCTCCCCCAAGTCTCTCTCCCCCTGGTAGAAAGTAAGCTTCATGAGGTCAGAACTGTTTCTTTGTCTTTGTATCTCCAGTGTCTAGTGTAGCGTCTAACTCACATAGCAGGCTCTTAACAAATATCTTTTGATTTTGTTGAATCTTAGCTCCTCCTCCCCATGGTTGGAGATGATGATTTTGTGCAAGATATTGACCCTATAAACATATACTTCTTCCCCAACTCTAACTTTATTCCTTACCCCTAAATTCCACAGTCCCATTGTTTATACAAACTACGAATACTAATTTCCTTAACTATTTGTTTTAGTTGCAATCTACAGCTAGACCACGGGGATTAGAAGAGGCCTTATCATCTAAGCCAAACCCCTTATTTTGTAGATGAGAAAATGAAGAACTGAAGGGGCAACTGACCTGTCCAAGGTTACACCATGAATTAGTGGCAGAGCCAGACTGGAAGCAAATTCCTATCATAGTGTTCTTTCTACTACCATTGTCTGTATCTTCATTACATGTTGGGTAAAGTCAGTGTTTTGAATGCTGGATGGTAATACCCTGAAGTGGAAGTTCTGGACCATCTTTGTGTCATGGTCATCTTTGGCAGCTTTCTGAAGCCTATGGAGTCCTCAGAATAACATTTTTTAATACATAAAATAAAATGCATAGGATTATAAAAGAAATCATCTACATTGAAATGCTATTATCATTTTTTTTTAAATCCTAAGTCCAGAACTGTTCTAACTGATAGGTCTGTATCGATTTGAAATGTCTGATTGGTTGGTTCTTCCATGGAAGTCCTACTCTGATTTTTCCTACTCCTTATGCTCATAAGTTGCATATCTGTAGCACTTTAAGGTTTATCAAATGCCTTATATATGTTATCTTGTCTGATCCTCATAACAACCTTATGAGGTTGATACTATTATTATCTCCATTTTCTAGATGAGAAAACTGATGCTGAGGAAAGTTCAATCATTTCCCCAATGTTGCACAGGTAGTATCTAAGGCAGGATTTAAACACAGACATTCTTGGTTCTGTTGTCCAATATGAAATTCATCACTATGCTACCTAGCTGCTTCATCATGATATAAAGGTGACCTTTGGTTCTCAAAGGCAACACTAGTTGAGTAAAAGGCCTTGGAAAGTCCTATTCAACTGTACAGGTTTCAGATACAAGTCCAGCAATGAAATACTATCTCTTGTTGGAGAACAAACAGCCCACTTTGGAAAAGCTCATCAACAAATAATTGGCCACCAAGTGATCAAATTTTTAAGCCATAGAAACTCATGGAGACAGACCATCAGATAAGAGAGCAGAGCATTTATAGTCATAGAGAAGCAATGTGGCAGTGTGGGAAAAGCATTGCTTTCGGAGTCAGATGATTTGGTTCAAATCATGACTCTGATGTTTATTAATCTGATTTTGTGTGAATCACTTAACTTCTATGGGCCTTGTGACATATAGAAAGTTTGAGACATGGTTTTGGGGTAATTAATCATTTCATTAATCATGCTAGCATATAATTAATAAAAAGGTCAGTGGCACTCTCAAATGCTGAAGATCCCTCACGGAACTCACTCAATGCTTATATGGCCTTGGAAGAGTGTGTGTTCCTGAGGGTGGCAATCAACTCTGACTAGTTAACAAGTAATGAGAGGATGAATATTATAATGAGAGGTGATCTTATTCTAATGAGGGCCTGAGGGATGTGACTCTGGTCACTCAGTCTTGATCAAAGAGATGTATCTATACCCTTATCACTCCATCTAGCATAATCTAAACAAAAGGGGGAATCTACTTCTACTCAGACCTGTCTGAGTAAAGACTGTGTCTGAGTGGGCCAGAATCCATCAATTCACCTAAACTAAAATTTCTTTACCTTTTGAACTGATCTGAGTTTTCTACTTGGGTCAGTTTTGCCCAATATTTCATCTCATTATGAGCCCTGCACTTCAAAGGCTGTCTGAATAACCTACAGGGCTGATTTCTAAATGAGGAAAGGAAGGGGAGAAAACCTTAATCTTAATTCAGTAATTGGCTATTAATGTAGGAGAGAAATAATCATTTCTCTCAGCCTCACTCTCCTTATTTGCAGAATGAAGAGATTGTCTTCTGAGGTCCCTTCTAGCCCCGTATCTTATGACCCCAAGGAAATCTCAGATCCTTTAGATATTGAGCTAAGCAATATGCTAAGATAGGAGCTTTGATACGAGGTGGTGTTGATACAGAGAGAAAACAAAACCTTGATGCTTAACCACATCTACTTCCTTTCTTCATTCTAGTTCTTGGACATCTCAGTTAAGTGGACTGCACAGGAAACCCTTCCTCCGAAATACCTTCATTATGACCCCGAAACATCTCGTCAGCTGCTGTGTGACCAATGCCCTCCAGGCACTTATCTGAAGCAGCACTGTACAACAAGGAGAAGGACCCAGTGTGAGCCCTGCCCCCATAACTACTACACCAAGAACTGGCATTTTAATGAGGAATGCCTATACTGCAGCGGAGTGTGCAAAGAGCTGCAGTATGTGAAACAGGAGTGTAATAGTACTCACAACCGAGTGTGTGAATGTGTGGAAGGACGGTATCTGGAACTGGAGTTTTGTCTAAGGCATACTAGCTGTCCCCCAGGATTCGGTGTAGTACAAGCAGGTAGGTGGCTGATTTCCATCCCTAGCAAAATTAATTAATGTTGTACATAGCACGGGAGAGTAGCCAGAGTGAAAGATAAAGAAACAAACTTGTTCTGATGACATTACAGGATAGCAAACTCCAAAGACTGTGGAAGAAGCTTCCTGGGTTGTACCTCTGCCGTGGACCGTTGCCAAAAGAGCCACTCTCTAAGGAATCTGGTGGTACTAAAATGCAATTTAGTGACGAGTCTCAAATGCAGCAAATTGCCCTCTAATGAGAAACATGATGGATTGCCCTTTTTTCAAAGGAACCTACTCTGGGTTACACTGTTTATACCTGATAAACACTCCATTTTTCATTTGGAAGCTGGCTGCTTCAAGCTACAATGCTTTTTGACAAACATCAGAAATGTTAATTGATACCAAGAGAGTAATTATACCAATATTAATGAAGCACTAGAGCTGTAACAATGCACAGTTATAATAAATTATGTCAAAAAAAATGAAAGCCGCTTGGGAGCGCATATTTTTATTATTAAAAAGAAAGTCGGCTCTTCCTTTGGTAGGGAATTCAAATGTGTGCTGTGTGTCTGAAAAGGATAAAGCCTGGATCAATGTGTCTTCAATAGTTTTATTCTTCATTTTAGATAAAGCAAATTATTAAACCCACTCAAAAATGCTCATCTATAAACAAAGTGTTCCCTTTCCTTTGTATTTTGAAGAATAGGGTGGTGTAATGGTTAGAGAACTGTCCTTGTAGATAGGAAGAGCTAGGTTCATCTGACACCCACTGTCTAGGTTCCCCCGGCAAGTTATGGAATCTCTCAGTGCTTTAGGCCAGTGGCGTCAACCTCAAGTAGAAATGGAAACCGCTAAACCATATGTAAGGATTCCTACAGGCCACATATTGACTTAGAAACCCACACATTAACATTATCCACGTTTTATCATATTTTAATTTATCTTGTTAAATATTTCCCAACTACATTTTAATCTACCCTCTCACCCTTTGGCCCCAACACACATACTTGAGAGTGTTGCTGGTGGATGGCCTACTGGACAATGTTTAATACCTCTGCTATATGCAACTCTGTAAGATTCTAAATTGTAAAGAAGATGGCAACTTGTATTGACAGAGGGAGTTTCCTCACCTGGGAATTCCCTACATCAATTAAATCGCAGGTTCTGACCTATTTCCTTTATCCTACATTTTGAGAATACAAATTTGGGTCAGATACCATGGAATCCACAAGTTGATTTTTTGCTTACCACATTTATAAAATTCCAACATAGCCCATACATACATACTTGAAAATTTTTAGAATATTTCAAAGTATCATGATATTTTAGAACTAAGCCTTCAGAGATTATCTAGTCCAACTAAGGTCAATAAAATTTAAGGAAGACCTACCCAAGATTACATAACTGTTAAGTGAAAATGAGAGGGTAAGACAGATGATACACAGCTAGGTGGCTCCAGTAGAAAGAGTGCTAGGCCTGGAGTCAGGAAGTTTTTCAGTTGTTTTAGTCACGTCCAACTCTTTGTTACACCATTTGGGGTTTTCGTGGCAGAGATACTGGAGTGGTTTGCCATTTCCTTCTCCAGCTCATTTTACAAATGAGGAAACTGAGTCAAACAGGGTTAAGTGACTTGCCCAGGATCACATAGCTAGTAAGTATCTGAAACTGGATTTGAACTCATGAAGATGAGTCTTTCTGACTCCAGGCCTAGTCTTCTATCCATTTACCACCTAGCTGCTCTCAGAAAGACCTCAGTTCAAATGCAACCTCAGGGATAGGTATTGTTATTATTCCCATTTTACAGATGAACCAACAGGCTGAGAGAAGTTAAGTGATTTATCCAGGGTCACGAAGCTAGTAAGTAGTGAGGCATAATTTGAACTAAGTTCTCCCTGATTCTAGTGCACTACACCACCTATCTGCCTTTGCCACTTCTGTCCCTGTAGAATCACTCTACCAAAATCACAGAATTTCAAAGGTGGAAGGTACCACCTCAGTGGCTATATAGTTCAACCCATTCCTGAAAAAAAAATTCCTTCTGCAATATACATGACATTACTTCTTCATCATCATCATCATCAATATCATTGTCATCATCATCTCTCCCTTTCCCTCCATCTCTTTCTCTCTTTCCCTCTCTCTCTTTCTCTTCCCTCTCTCTCTCTCCTTTCCCTCCTCTCTCTCTCTCTCTCTCTCTCCCTCTCTCAAATTAGTTTCCTGGGAATACTTGAGGGAGGAATTCTGTTGACCCAATCCCTCCCTACTTGTATTGAACATAGGATTATTAAAAATAATTTAATCTAGACTGAAGCAGAAATGAACATTTTAAATTTGAGTGAAGAAATTTATAGAATATTAAAGCTGGGAAGAAGGTACCTCCTTGAAGGAAGCATGAAACCATGTTTGCAAAGAGAAATGTCAGGCCAGAATGTTCAGGACAAAGGCAGCCATTCTATTTGACCCCACCACAGAAGGTCTCATTTACTTCTGTCTCCCCACCACCTCCCCCCTTTCCCTGAATACACAAGCTGTCCTCTCAACTGGAAAATGTTTTCCAACATAAACAGATGGAAGGATATGGCATGTCCGTTTCCAAAACATTAATCTTCTCCCACCCCACCCCCTTTTTTCAATGAAATGCCTCTGCATCTTGTTTTCTTCTCCTGACCCTACTATACTTCTAAGCCACATGGAATTTCTTATATCAGAATGGTGGCCTCCTCCAACTGTATTGCAGGCTTATTTCTGGACATTCTGGTGCTGCTAAGGATTATGCTTTGTATTTCTGCTCACATGAGATTAGAATACAGGGTCAACCACATAGATTTATACACAAATATTGGAAAGATGCTATATCCCTTCTGTGGAAGTTCTTTCCAGCAACACTAATTCCCCCCACAGCTCTTTCAATCAACAATCTGTAACTTAGTAGTTCATTCCTAGATAGTTACCTGAGGCACACAGAGAGCTTAAGTCCCTTTTCCAGAATCACAAACCTCGTAGGTATCACAGCCAGTATTGGAACTCAGGTCTTCCATATACCTCTGCCTTTTGGCATCCCTGACCACTCAGGTCATGGATCACCTCTACCAGGAAGCCTTCCTGAACCCTTTTAGTTTTCATGATTTCTCCCACTTTCTCAAATTACCATGTGTATACTTATCTATTTGAGGCAGCTAGGTGGTGCTGTGGATAACCTGCCCTGTCTGGAGTCAGGAAGACTCCTCCTCCTAAGTTCAAATCCAGCCTCAGATACTTATTAGTTATGTAACCCTGAGCAAGTCACTTAACCCTGTTTGCCTCAGTTTCTCATTTGTAAAATGAGCTGGGGAAGGAAATGGTAAACCATCGAGTATCTTTGCCCAAAAAAAACAAAAACAAAAAAAACAACCAAAAACAAAAACAAAAATAAAAAAAAAAAACAAATGGGGTCAAGAAGAGTTGAAAATGACTGAAAAATATTTTGTCTGTTTACATATGTAATAACTCAATAGAATGTGAGCTCCTTGAAGACTGAGACAGTTTTTCTTTCTTTTTTTTCTTTATATCTCCAGCCCTACCAGGGATGGAGAACCTGAGGTCTCAAGGTCACATGTGGCCTTCTAGGTCCTTGGGTGTGGCCCTTTGACTGAGTCCAAGTTTTACAGAACAAATCCTTTTATTAAGAGAATTTGTTTGTGAAGTTTAGATTCAGTCAAAGGGCTGTACTTGAGGACCTAGAGGGCCACATGTGGCCTCAAGGCCCCAGGTTTCCCAACCCTGCCTAGCACTAGGTAGGCACTTAATAAATGGTTGTAGGATTCATTGGATTCCTGACTCTAAGATGTTTCCATCTTGTCCAAAATAGTATAATAATGTCTAAAATGAAATTATATTGGAGATTTCTACAGTGAAATTATAGCCCTTTGATAGTCTATTCACTAGACCACATTATTTCTATTTTTCTAAGCTTAAAATAAAATAAATTAAATAATAAAATAATAATTAAAATAAATTTTCCCATTGCTTGGTACTCATACCTCTTAGAAGGGATATTGAATAAAGAACAGGAAAGTATTAGGAAGCTCCTAGAGCTTTCCTTAAAAGTTTTCTCACTGCTACTCTATCTTCACCCAAGCCATAAAATGGCCACTAGTTGCAAAGGAAAAAGACAACATGGGTTACCAAATGGGGGGCTAGCCTTGGAGTGAGGATAGCCTGGGTTCAGATCCTGCCTCTGACGCATCTTGACTGTGTTACCCTAGATAAGTGTCTTAGCCTTCCTGTGCCCTCCAGACAGCTGTCAAGGCTATAAATTAGGCAGCTGGTATTGTCCTACTTTGGCAAAACAAAGTCACGCAAAGTCCCCCATACTAAAGAAATCATAGGTCTGATAAAAAAAAGAAAAAAGCCAGAACGAAAGAGAGAGAGAGAGAGAGAGAGAGAGAGAGAGAGAAAATAGGTTATAAATAGGATCTTCTATGTGGGAGCTGACAAGTTCCTTCTCTCAGATGAGTAACAACAGCTCATAATAATAGCTAACATTTATATAGAGCTTACTGCAGGCTAGGTACTATGCTAAGTACTTTACAATTATTATCTTATTTGATCCTCACAACAACCCTAGGATGCAGGTGCTATTATTATTCTCATTTTTACAGATGTGGAAAGTGAGTCAAACAGATTTAAATGGATTACTTAGGGTTACACAGCTAGTATCTGAGGCTGGATTTGAACTCAAGTCCTTCTGACTCTAGGCCCAGACCTCTATACACTGTGTCACCTAGATGTCTCTAACTGGAAAGAGAATCACACAATTCTCCCCATTTCCATTTACATATTTCCAGCAGTTAGCATTGTATAGCATGTTGTTGTCCAATGCATTTGAATCATCTATTGTTGTAAATATAATTTAAATACTGCTAACCCACACTAGATGGAGATATTTTCATATGCAAATACACTGTGCAATATGTGACATATCCATGCATAAAAGAGAGTATTGACATTATTTATTTTAATAGCATCTTTTATTTGTTGTCTGGTTCAAGTTCTCCCTATTAATGTTTTCTCCAAACATCTCAAATCTCTTCCCACAGTGCAGTGAAATACCCATACAATCACAATTCCTGTAAGTTATAATGACTGTTCTCTTGAACACGACAGCTAAAGCAAAATAGGATATCATGGAACATCTATTATGTTGCTCCATGGCAGGTTTACATTTTGGAGGCAGCTCCATTTCCTTTCCTTTGTTCAGCACTTTATTATATTGTAAAATTTTACTTCCTGAGGTTAGCACATTTATTAACCAGTGTGTATGCTGATGTACAAGGCGAGCAAGAACATCACTGGGGCCTGGTTAGAATTTAAAGACATGACATTTAGATTACATTAATTCCTAGGAATGATAGAACAACAAACAGAACTTATTTTCCACCACAGTCCATGATTTTTCCAGAACAATGGTTTGAAGGACTCAGTCGACAGCTGTTCTTTCCTGACCATTCTGTCTGTGGTATAAGTGAACATAGAAAGTCAGTGAAAAGGATAATGTGGTCTACAGCAGTAGGGAGGACTTAGCAGAGGACTTTTTATGGGATTATCAGAACCATACTAATACCATACCTGCTGTGAGAGTCTTTGATTCTGAAGTGCTAAACTGACTGTTATCTTTCCTGAAGGAACCCCAGAGCGAAATACCATTTGCAAGAGGTGCCCAGATGGATTTTTCTCAAATGAGACTTCCTCTAAAGCACCTTGCCGGAAACACACAAATTGCAGTGCCCTGGGTCTCCAAATGGCATCAAAAGGAAATGCAACTCATGACAATCTCTGTGCTGGAAACACAGAAGCAACTCAGAAATGTGGAATAGGTAATTATGTTCCAAAAGCTTTTCTCTGGCAGAGTGGCAGTATTTTGCATAAGGCTGCCCTAAAACCTCTTTCTTTCTGCCTGTTCAGCCATTTTTCTTCATCTAGTATGGTTTACCATGACTCATTCAATGTCATTCAGTACCTCCCTGCTACGACTATTATTCAGTAGTCATTTCTGAATATGGTTGCTATAGCTATGATCTTTCATGTGCATATCTACAATTTAATAAGAATACTTCAAAAATTACTATTATCTCATGCATTCCTATTTCCTGGCTGACATAATCTTTTCTACTTTCATTTGGTCCTCTGCTATCTTCCTCTCCCTTTGTGCCCTATATTCAAATATCATTCATTGGATGGTGGGGAGGGAAGGAAGTAGGAGAGGTGTAGAGTGGGCTGTTCAATAAAGAGAAAAGTTCAAACAGTGGAATATTTTTTAAAGATCATATTATCACTCTCAACTAACATATGTATTATTGACTAAAGTATAAATTAGACCCTAACAGATGAAATGAGGTCAGCTAATGAAAAATTGTAATTCATAATAGATTGTTATAGCATAAGAGGCGTACGTATCATTAACATCTAAATCCCAAGATCTTCCACTTGTTTCAAACATTTTACTTGATAGAAGCCAGATGTACTTCAATTTTTGATGGATCTGTTATCTCATTCATGAAGGCACAGACCATGATCCATTCATACTTTCTCATTCTGTCCAAATCATGCTTATGTAGCCCCCAAAATTCTACATGGCAGTCCACTCAGCGTGCTGGTGGACTTCTTCATCCCTTAACATTGCACGGATACCAATAGAGCACATGGTTGTTAACTGGCTATTCCTTGATCTTACTATATACCTGAATTAATTTTGAATTAGTGAGAGTTTTTTGTCCTTCCTTGACTCACATTCTAGACTTTTAACTGTCCCTCACTTAATATTTTGCCCAGCATCACCTCAGACCCTTGGTGCCATGCTTAGGAAGACCATAACCATTATCTGTCAGATGTTGTCACATGTTCCCTCTAAAACTCAGCTCTTTCAGAAAACTGAAGAGAAGTAGTCTATAGAGAAATAGAATACAGACTCCTATTCAGAGCACTAGGCCCTTCTACTTGTCCTCTATGTGACATATGTATTTTATGTGGAACCTTGATATGCTTGTTCTAAGTCACATTGTAATTTCCTTAGGAGTGGATACTGTCCATTTTGTACCCTGAATCCAAAGTACCCTGTGGATACTAGATAAGCATTAATTGAATTTAGTTATTTAAATTAAATTAGAGAAATAGTTTGAGGCAAAAATTTAGTCATGTTGATGTTATCATTATTCTTTAAAATTAACTGAGTAAGAAAAAATATTAAGTGCCCTAGAACACTTGGAAATTCAATTCACCTCAATAAACAATTAAGTGCCCACTCTGGTCAAAGACATAAGTGAAACACAATTTGCTCTCACGGAGCTTATATTCTACTTCTACAGTTCTAACCAAGGTGTCACTACACAAGGAATTTCAGCTAAAAGAATGGTTGTACACAACTGAATTTTAACACAACTGGTCATAGGAAACTAAAGTTTCTAGAAATCAATAGTTTCTCCAGAATCAAAGAGTCTAAGATCATTGTTACACTAATTTTCCTCTTTCATCCCATTTAGATGTCACCCTATGTGAAGAGGCATTCTTCAGGTTTGCTGTTCCTACAAAATTTACCCCTAATTGGCTCAGCGTCCTGGTGGACAGTTTGCCTGGCACCAAGGTGAATGCAGAAACCATAGAAAGGATTAAACGAGGACACAGTTCTCAAGAACAAACCTTCCAGCTGCTCAAATTATGGAAGCATCAAAACAAAGACCAGGATATGGTCAAGAAGATTATTCAAGGTATGGTATTCCAAATCAAGACCCAAGCAGGGATCCAAGTGAAATACTTTCATTGACAAGTGAGAAATCATCAACATCCCTGTTGAATAATACAGAATTGATGATCCTCCATCTTGAATTTTTGCCGAGTTCCAAATAACATGGTCAATATGCTAATGTAATTTAAGATGCCATTCCTCCCAAAAGTAAACATATTGACCTGTTTTCATGTTGTTTCTTTTGGAAGCCAAATGTAGGTACAATGTAAGAAAAAGCCACTGAGAGTCTAGTAAGGCTGAAATAGATTGCAGGAACTGCCTTCTACACCTGGAGTTTGACTTCTTAGTAGGTTCCTTATTTTGCTAGCAAACAAAAGGCAACTAACCACTATGGGCCTCAGTTTCCTCTTTCATCAATGACATATGTTTTATTTATTCGTTAAAGCACCTCATATTTATCAGGCAAAGTTTATAGGCATCCTCTCATTAATCCTCATAATGCAACCTGTTTTTAAAGACATGATTTTAAGAATTTATGTTGTGAGAATTAATGGGACAATATCTGAAGTTACAACTTCTCCAGTTAAAATTCAGAGTTCAATAAAACTGTTCTATTAGCTGGAACTCATGGCCTAGTGCCATGGTTGGAATTTGTTGGAATTCTGTCAGCAGAAGGAAAGCAAGGACTGTTAGAGCCAATATGATATAGTGGAGAATATAGTAGAGATATTGTATGAAGATTACTTAGGTTCAAATTCCTTCTCAGATACACAGTACCTGTGTGACCCCCGGACAGATCCTTTAGCATTTCTAGGCTTTGGTTTCTTTATCTGTTAAATGAAAGGAGTATAACTGATGATTATTAAGGTCCTTTTGCATCAGTGATTCTATGAATGGGATTCTTTTAAAATCAGGCATTCATGAACAGCATCAGAGATTTTAAAACACTCCTAAAGAAACTTTCTTTTTCCTTTGTTCATGCTAGGAAAAACACAACCCCAAAAATACAATCCAAAACCTTTTTTATAATCAGTTAAACAAAGGGAAAAGTCAAATTGCATCCAAAGTAAGTTCCAGGCCTTGGGACACATAGATCAAAAGGGAAGGTAAAGGTTCTAGGCCAGTGGATATTTGGCATCCATTCTGAAAAGGAAAATTTAGAAAAAAACATTTTCTGAATACACTTTGTCTATAGACAATTTCGTAGTTACAAATGACCCAAAGATAATTTCTTTCTTAGTGTAAACATCTCAGATTACACAACAGCTGGTTGCTTTCATTTGTTGCAGATGGCAGATTTCTTGTGAAAATGGAGGAGGGAGACTAAAAGTTTTTTTCGAAAGGATAATTGCCCCCTAAAACTGAAAAGGCAGTATCCTATTTAAATAGAGCAGCTTCTCTACACATCATCATATCATAGTTCACCTCTGAAGTCTTCTCTTTATGAAGTCCATTTGCTTGTTTATTTCTTAATATGTTTTCAGAGATTATTCTCATCATGTGGATTGCATGAAATTATGTATTTATTAGAGACTGACTTGCTACCACAGAAATTAATTTTGGTTAGAACAGATTAACTATCAAGAGAACGAGAAAACATTAACTTGACTACTCTTGAGCAGTATACTACCTATTGATCAGGATTGTCATTATTTTTGCCTTGGCTAAATCCATCAGATTTGTGCCCAGTGATGATGGTGCTCCTGTATGTGGGGCCTACTGGTTTTTAGAGCTGTTCCATTTTTCAGAATTTGATTCTATAGATTGTGGTATCATTAGATCATTGATGATGTTATAGAAATAATACCCCTACCTCAACCCACACAACCCAACATTCAATTAATCCTAAATAATATAAATAACTATTGTCTGGGTTAACATCTATTGACTTTATTCCATTGTGACTTTATTGTTCTTTTCAGACTAAGGTACTGGTTCCTCTCAATTCTTATTATTTTTAGCAACTTATTATTTTATATTATTCTTATCTGCTTAAGAAAAGTTATTCTCAGAACAAAACCATCACATACTGGCTTAAGAGACTTTATCAGGGGAATGTGAATCCATAGCATCTCTTTCTGATTCCTAATTTACACAGATATTGACCTCTGTGAAAACAGTGTGATGAAACACATTGGACGCTGGAACCTCACCCTGGAACAGCTCTGTAGTCTGATGGAAAGCTTACCGGGGAAGAAAGTAGGAATAGAAGACGTTGAAAAAACTATGAAGTTATGCAAATCAACTGATCAGATCCTAAAGCTGCTTAGCCTGTGGAGAATGAAAAATGGTGATCAAGATACTCTGAAGGGTTTGGCACATGGACTGAAACACTTAAAAACATACCATTTCCCCAAAGCAATCCTTCAGAGTCTAAGGAAGACAGTCAAGTTTTTGCACAGTTTTACAATGTACAGATTATATCAGAAGTTATTTCTAGAAATGATAGGGAACCAAGTCCAGTCGGGTAAAATAAGCTGCTTATAACCAGCCATGACCTTTGGGGTAGAGTTCACGCACACAATGAGATGATGGAACATGTGAGTAAGTTATTCCTCAGTCTGTTTAGTGAGGTACATCTGGGTGGGTGGGGATGCATTCTGTTGTTTTGGGCCAATATGTGGTAAATAAGTGACTACCCTGGTGATGTGCAAGAGACAGTATACCCCCAAAGTTCAATACACCCCAACCTTGGATCTGGTTCAATACTTACTGACTCTGTTTTCCTCTTTACTGTTAGAAGTAACTCAACTGGAAACAATAGCCCAGACAGAAAATGTTTTTACTTCATCATGCCTTACTATGCATGGGAATGTCTAACTGGGAGAACTTGGAGTTTTCAGCAGTCCTGGATGCTTTTATCCAAAGGCCGTTTTTTGATAAAGCTCCATACATGCTGATAACACTAATACAGTATTTGCTATTTATATTCATTCAGATAGGAGGTTTGTACATATTTATCATCTTAAATGGGAATTGTATAAGACTTAATTTTAGAAAGAGAAATTTATATTCTGTTTATTATTATGACAAATGAAAGTGATAAAGTATATATATATATATATATATATTTTTTTTTTTTCAATGGAGACTATGTAGCATTTCCTAATAGGTCCTGCCATTCTCCCTCCGTGGAGTGTTGTTTATAATGTAATTTTCACTGTATAAGCTATAATATCTATGGATAGGAAAAGTGTATAATTTAGCTGAGTTTTTAATGTGGGAAAATGTGTGATATGTAAATTATCTGCTCTGAGAAAGTGAATGTATCTTATTTAAAAGATTTTATGATTTTACTTTATAAATCTTACCATTAAATTTTTTTCAGTGGACTTTTTGGTGTTTTACTTTTTATTGTTTCTGCTTAAAAAGGGCAGTTTGGGATTTGTGCTTCTCCTACTTTTCCTGCTCTACATATCTTGCCTTCCGTTAAGTAAGAGCCCAGAGCCTAGAATGATAAAAGTATTAACAACAGCCTATAATTTCAGCAGGCCATTTAAGATACAGCTAATCCAAGAAAACTGCAAATATTGGGAGATGGCAAAAACTTTTACTCACAAAAACAAGCAAAGATGAGATCCAAATGGTCAGAACCTGGAAAGCAAGAATAGCAAACACTTCAGTACTTGAAACAGAAGCCAAGATGGAAATTAAATTCTGAGGTTCATGAGCAGATGGATAGGGCCTCAACTAGAAGGCTAGTGCTTTCCTTGCTTATCATTTCCTCTTGGAATGCCTATTACATCAAAATAAGTGACAAAATGATCAACCAGAAGGATACTTAGAGAATACCAGATCAAAATTCCCCTTCTCTCCCCATGCAAAATAAACACACACACACACACACACACATACACACACACACATACACAAAATGAAACTGAGATTCCAAAAGGAAGTCCCTAGAGGTCAAATAGTTAAGAAATGATAAACCTATGAATCAAACCCACGTCCAACTCCACAATGACTTTTTGACTGTATCATATCGCGTTACATTTACAATGCTAAATTAAGTTGGAAGGCATTGTGTCACTTCTCAATTTCTATAGCCTATTAACCCTGTCTTCTTAATATTCCTTCTTGAGCAGCTCCACCAAAGGAAATGAGAGCTAGAAAACTAATTCAATCCAATAATTTTTTTTAAAATTATTTATTCATCAGCTCTAGCAAAAGCCTTTGTTTCTGTTGAGCAAATGTCCAAGTTCTACTCTTCCATCTCATTCCTCTCATATTTCATTTAGCCACTAAAGTGATTTTCCTAATATACAAGTCTGATCACGTTACTCCCCTACTCAGTAAATTCCAGTGGCGTCCACCTGTCTCCAAGACAAAACACAAAATGCTCTGTTTGGCGTTCAAAGCCTTTCATAACCTAGGCCCCTTTTATCTTTACAGTCTTCTTATATCTTACTCTTCGACATGTTCTCTTCATTATCAGCTAAAAGGGCCAAGAAAGGTCTTGTGCAAGAGATGGAACTTAAACTGAGTGAAAAGGGAGGAAAATGAATTTGTAGGTTTTATAATAAAATAATTGAGAATCATTATTTCTCACCAATCAACAAAAACACGGTGATAACCCTATTTACATTAATTATACTTTATGCCTCTTCTTGAGACACTTAATATCCATTTGCCAAGTTGTTAAAATTAACACTTTTTTTCTCTCGGAAACAATTGGTAAACATTTCCAATGTTTGTTGGCAACCAACCCTGATAAGCAAACTAGAAGTGCCAACAAAATGAAATACTTTGCTTCCTCTTCGGTAATACCTCAGTCCTCTGCAGCCAAGACATTGATAACAGGTGGATAGCTAAGATTGAGTACCCCACTTGAATTCTCATACTTGCAGGAGATAGGAAACAAGGCCTCCAACTCATTGGGGGACCCCCTGTGGTCAGTTTTGGGAAAGACATGGACAAACATCACAGGATGGGTAAAGATATATCGTTTTTGATCTGTATTACTGGAGGAAACTCCCAAATCCATGAGATCACAGATCTGATTGAATATTTGCAGAAAGAAAACTAATGTGCAAAAGCAAAAACTAACAGTGAGATTAGAGCTATAATTATCTGCTGCCTCACCCTCACCCTATTGGCTTCTCAGAATGCATACATACATTTACAATGATTGTTTTATTCAGGATTTGTAGTCAGTATGCTTTATTTCCCTAGAGTGTTAGAGTGGGAAGGGTCATCTTTTCTAACTCCTACTTAGAATATGAATCTCTTCTATGATATTCCTGAGAATTGGTCATCCAAGCTCTGCTCCAGGGACACATAGAGAGCATAACCTCTTCTGCCAGCCAATTACATTTTTAGGCAGCTTTAATTGTTACAAAGTTCTTTCTGAGCTAATTTCTTTTCCTTCTGTAACATTTACCTTTTGGCCTTAGTTCTGGCTATCGGAACTAAGGAAAACCAGACTAATCCTTCCTTCATCTGACAATCTCTCAGATATTTAGACACAACTATCATGTTTCTCCTAAACCAGGGCCTCTTAATCTGAGGACTTTGGTTTTGGTTTTTACGTTTTGATAACTTTGTTCCATTATATTTGATATTTTTTTTAGAATCCAGTGCTTTTTATTTTATGCATTTAAAAGCATTATTCTGAGAAGGGCTCCATAGACTTCAACAGACTGCCAAAGGGGCCCATGATTCAAAAATGGTTAAGAACGCCTAACCTAAATAAACCCTCTCTTCTGTAGGGTAAGGAGCTCTAGTACTTTCATTTAACTCAAGTCCTCTTACCATCCTCCTTGTCCTCATGTAGATGTGCTGTAAACATGCTTCTCGATGTCCTTTCTTCAAATGTGAAGCTCAGACCCCATACTCTTCTAGTAATCTAAATAGGGCTTTCAAAGAGTATTCTAGAAACATTATCATCTCTCTAAAGTAGGGAAAAAAGAAACAGTCCTCAATTTCAAGATGCTCATAGTCTAATGAAGGAGAAAACAATCTGGCCTCAGATACTTACTAGCTGTGTGACCTTGGTCAAGTCACTTAACCCTGTTCACCTCACTCAGTTTCCTCATCTGTAAAAGGAGGTGAAAAAAGAAATGGTAAACCATTCCAGTATCTTTGCCAAGAAAACCCTAAATGGGGTCATGAAGAATCAGACACAACTGAGATGGCTAAACAAAAAACATATACAAACAGGATATAGACGGAATAAATTGGACATAATCTCAGAGGGAAAGCATTAATATTATAGAATACTAGGAAAGGCTTCTTGCAGAATGTGCATTGTTAGCTAATATTTAAAGAAAGCCAGGGAAGCCTATGAAAGAAACTTTTTGCTGTAACTTCTGTGTTTTTGTTATTTTAATTTTATTTGATTGATGTCTCTTGTTTTTATATCATAATAATTTCTAAATATAACAATAATCCTCATCTATCCAAACTTTGTAAAAATATTTTAAAAAGAAAAAGTAGCTCCTAGGTATAACATTAAAAGTCATAGTAGATAGCCCTATAAATAAAAAAGTCCCACATTAAAAGTCCCATCACGTTTGATGGTCCTCTTAGCATGGTATCAGAGCTATGCGCCAACCACATGGAGTTGATCTGAATAAACTCTGGGCTTAATTCCTACCTGGTCTATTCCTGAAAGAGACCAAAAAAATAAGAAAAGTCCTATTTTGTGCATATCTTTTGAATTGGCAATTAACAGAAAACAGAGTGCTCATCTATTAGGAAATGGCTGAACAAACTATGATATTTGAATGTAAAGGAATATCATTGTGCTATAAGAAATTATGAAAGAGAGGAAAGCCTGGGAAGATTTGTATGAACTGATGCAGGGTGAACAATTTATACAGTGTTGATAGACTGCAGCTAGGTGGCACAATGCTGGACCTGGAGTCAGGGAGACCTGAGTTCAAATCTGACCTCAGATACTCACTAGCTGTGTGACCCTGGGCAAATAATCTAACTTCTGCTTCCCTCAGTTTCCTCGTCCATAAAGTGAGAATAATACTAGCACCTACCTTCCAGGGATGTTGTGATGATCAAGTGCCTGACACATAGTGAGTGTTATATAAATGTTATTCATTTTTATTACTTAAAAACTCTGATCAATACAATGATTAACTATGATTTCAGACGACCAATAATAAAGAATTCTACTTCATCTCAGTCCCCAAAAGTGCTGATGGACTAAATATGCCAAATGAGACCTGCATTTTTGGATATGGTCAACATGGGAATCTATTTTGCTTGACATGCCTATTTATGAAATTCATCTAGAGGAACAAAAGGTCAAGAATATCAAGAGAATCTTTTTTTAATGGGAAAGATTTTAGATGTTACAGATGTCACGATGTTTTTGGTTTTTGCTTTTCTTCTTTCATGGAGGAAGGTAAAAAGGAGAAAAAAAATAAAGGCTTGGTAATTGAAAAAATTTAAGTTAAAAAACACCAAATTAATTAAGAGTCAGTGATATCAAAGATTGATAAGCAATTTAATTAATTTATTAATTTCCTTTCATTATTTCTGTTCATTGAATTCAGAAAATACTAAGTGTATATTTGAATATTGAATATGATGTTCAAGACCGCATGATATTTCTAGCACAACAAAGGAAAAATAATTCTACTCAGTACAGCAAATTATGAGCTAAAAATCAGTGCAGAAGTAAAGTCTCACAGTTAGTTATTAGTCAGAAGGTACTAACACTTCATCCTGAGTCAGTTTTCTCAAAGACTGACTTCATAATTTGGCTCTGATTGATAGTTTATCTGTCTGGAATGAGGTATAAACAAGGCCAAGGGAGGTAACATTTCAGTGTCCAATAATTAGGGGAAAATGGAGAGATTTACATTAGCATTTCTGATAACATATCCCTAAAGAAAAATGTTAAGCCTTGGGGAAATTAATACCTCTACATAATATGCAGTCATGATTCGTTCAGTGCCCCACTCCAGGCATATCCACATATGAGCATCATCAATCAAAAAAAAAAAAAAAAAGAAGGCTGGAATTCCTAGCCATTATAGAGAACAGGGGAAATTGTTGAGTGATTTTATTGATGGTAAGATGTTTGCATTTCCCCTACAGTTGAGTGACTATTATCTGTCTTATAACTACAAACTGATTTTTCTCCAACAGAGAGAATGTGAAAGGGATCAAATAACTCCTCTTCATACTCCAGGTTGTTAAGGAGAATGAAGACTTCCTAAAGGAAAAAGAAAGCATATTTCAATGGAGAAAAAAAAATGAAAATCTGAGGTAGAGGAGCGGAAATGACTCTTGTGAG